CACGCCAGAACGGATTAACGGTAATTATATTGAACCTTATGGGGAAATTTGCTTCGGGTTGTGACCAATTCGGGCTTACCAATTAAGTTCGTAACCCGAGGTTCCACTGTATTTATATATATTTTTGCAATTTCAAAATTATAAAAGACTTCTTAAAATCTAATAGTTGATTTAATAGTGGCTTGACAGTGATTTCTCAGTGGAGTCCTTGGTGCTGTTTGAGCGTGGTTGTTTGCTTGTAGACATTTCATTACCCAACTAGGTAACATCATCAGTGCTAGTGAGTGTGGGGTTTGCTGCCTGTTTATATACAGTATTTCTCAGCCTCTGTAAAAGCTCCTGCTACACTTAATCCTTTCTGAACAACAGCAGCTGTTCAGTTTGTCCCCAGACGATGTGAAGGTTGCTCCTCTTCCTCTCTCAACCCCCTATTCACTGTATGGAATATTTCCTCTCAGTTCTGTGATTTATAATCTTCCTCCCCACCCAAAAAAAATAGGAACATTGCATCAGGCTCCTAAACAAACACCTACCAGCTGTCAGAAGGTTAAAAGAGGGGATCTTCTGGCAAGTGTATTAATTGTTCTTTCAAAGGCACAATGGATTAATCCACAGCCTCAGTTCAGGGCAGCATTGTTAGTATGTAAAAAATAATAATAAAAGAACAAAAGAAATAAAAGAAGAAACAAGGGAATTGCATAAGGTTTGCTGCAGAGAAACAGCCGATCAGGTCCTGCGTTGGCTAATCTTGACTGAGCACCAGCCCAATCCTGCTGCTAACCTGCAGCAAACTAGACTGGAAGTTCTCAAGGTTAAAAAAAAGAAATACATGAGAGAAGCAGTTGAAGCTGGTGTGCAGAAAGGCCCTCAGTTCTAAACAATGCGATGCATATTTGAACTATAAACTAGGTTAGAATTTGGTTCTAAAGCTACTGCTTAAACTTATATTTCAGTTTTCCCCACAGTGGCTGGTTTTGCTTTATAAATTAATCATCATCATCATCATCATCATCATCATCATCATCATCAGGAGAGCAAAACCCCCCCTTGGCTTCCAGATTTTGGGTCATAAGTAATTTATGTTCTTGATAGGCCTTGAGGTTCCTCTGTGCTACTACAGGAAAAAGGCATTTGCTGAATATCATTCTGGGCACCATAACTCAGTTGTAAAAGCAGATCCATGTCTCTGCAGCACCCCAGCTTCCTGAACTTATCTCCAGCAAAAGGGATCATAATAGGAAAGCTAGCAAAACTCATTTTTTCCTGTGATAAAGCCTATGTTTTGCTAATAGTGGTGAGGCCACTGTCCAGTTAAGTGAGTTCTCTTGCTTTTTAACCGTTTCTCTGATGCAGGGATTTTTTTTTAAAAAAAGCTAGTTCACCTGAAGTAAACTCTTTGGGCTAAAGTAAGAAATGGACTATTACTTTCTTTTTCCCCAGATACATTTTTTGGACTCGTTATGTGTATTTTTCATCGAAGAACGTTGAATGGTTGTTAATATTTTTTGTTTGCTGGTGTCTATGCCCACATGTGTGGTCATGGTCTTCACTGCAACAGAAATGCCCACACTGGTTCTGAATGGAATTTATCATAGAGTTGTTTTGTATCCCTGTTCTGGGAAAAATGAAGAGAAACCATCCTTGGAGGTTGATTGCACTTATGTGGCATGGTGAAAGAATGGTGGCATTCATCAGTCTGAATCATGTATTTAAGGTCTTCTGTTCCCTTTCTCAACATGATGCTGTTAGGATATAGTGGCAGATATTGTAGATACAATTATCATGGTATAAATACAGTATGTCTAGATTCTACTTCTAGCAGAACTATTATGTACTGGAATTAAGATTGCGTAAGAGAATACTTTAGCAAAAAACAGATTGGCTGAACCGGTCATAAAGCAGGAGTGCTATTGTACATGCCACAGGGGAAAGACAAGAAGAGAGAATTGATGGAATCACACAGCTGCTATGGAAGTTATCTGACCTGTTCAAGGAAGTTTGAAATCCAGAGGAAACAGAGGAGTTATTGGAAACATGAGAGTCCAGAGATTGGGCTCAATCAAAAAGAAGAGATGTCCAAGACATACTTTGGATCTGGAGCATAAAAGATGCTGGCTTTTGTTCCTTTTTTGCCTGGCAGAGATTCATGCACCAATGGATTATGCCTGCTCCTTTCGGCTATCTGTCTCACACTTCCCCCCTCTCCCCCGCCAAATGGGTTAGAGCTGGGAATATCAATCAGTGGTTGACAATCACCTCTGCGAATGTACGTACCCACACTGTAATTCCAACAAGGGTATTGCACCAACTGATCACATTTGTGTGGGCAAAAATTTTTCAGACATGAGATTTTAACACTAGTGGTAAGCAAAAAAGGAACAAGAGCCAGGATTCCATAATATACCCAGACTTGGTGGTGGAGATTTTCATTAGGCATATGCACGCATCCTTCTCAGCCTTGTTGCTTGAATCCTTCATCTCCATCTGCTGAGAGAGACATGGTATTGAAGAAATTTGGGTTGGTCTCTCAATAGCTGCCTTACATCTTGGTAATCATCTATTTTCATGTCATTACTTTTATGCATAATTTGTGGTCAGGTTCTCCTGGCTTCAGGAGATCAGTGCCAAGGTATTGATAAGGTTTCTGCAGGCATTTTTCCTTGTACCCCAGAGAGGCCTCCTTAGCTCAGTGTTTCAGAAGGGGGGTAGGGGTTGCCTTACAACAATTGTATAGGATTTTAAGATTCAGTGGGATGGTTGGTGATTGGAGGTTCCTGAGAGGTCAATTCAGGGGTGGCTGAAGCTATTTTGATTGGTCCGTATCATCTGTTTGCTCTGTATGGTTTGGTTTTTTTGTGAAGGAAGTTTATCATGGCTTTTTACATCTACTGTATTGAAACTATATTGTTATATATTGTAAGTAAAATTTATTTAAGTAAATTGCTTATATCTGGTATCTGTATTGCACCAATGCAACAAGAAATTGTTCCCAGCAGGAGCAAATCTGTGAAAACACATGAAACAAGTGTGAATAAATTCAAATGTGTGAGTTTTCTGAATAATGAGCCTTAATCTGACAGCATAGTGTAGAGCACTGCCCCCATGCTGGTTGGGGAATTCTGGGAGTTGAAGTCCACATTTCTTAAACTTGTCCAGACTGAGAAACACTGGTGTAGAGAGTAATGGAGGTTGACCTTGACAGAAATATGCAAGAACCGTTACCAAGGCAAAGAGGGCTGAAATGTTCTTTAAGTCTTGGGAAGCAAGATAATATTGCTTTTCGTTATCTTATTCAAGATAGTATTCTCTTCTGTTGGTAGCAAGATAATATTCAGAAGTGGCTGAGGCAAACAACTCCCTGATTCACTGGGGTATAAGGAGGGGAGGTACAGCACAATCAGACTTGCAAGATTCTATTATTATAGCCCATCTTAAAATATAGCTCTAATCTTCCTGTGGAGTTGATTTGCTGGTCTGGTCTATTTAGTGGGGCTGAAAGTAAAAAGTGGAATGCGCCTTGTCCAAGAAGAGATCAGTTTAATCCTGAATGCTACATGGGCAGAATGTGACGAAATGGTACTCAATTTGTTAGTGAAGGGTCATCAACCATTGAGTTGTGTGATTGGTCTGAAGAGGTTACTCTGCCCTCCCCCAGAACTGCTGAACTATAACTTTCAGAATTTTCAGCCAGAATGACCAGAGGCATCTGGCCATGAACATAAAGCAAAACAAAAGGCAAGACAATTTACCAATTTTCAGTAGGACTGAACATTTTATTTATGAAGTACCCTGTGCCTCTTGCAGTCAGAACATTGGACTTTTTTTTTTCAAAATTGCTCCTATACAATAATGTGGCATGCTGAAACAGTAAGGGGGGGGGGGAACCCCTCTCATAATGAATAGAGCTGATAAGTCTTTGGGGACATTGTTGTCAAATGCTGTGCATTTTCTCTTTAAAAGAAAAAAAGAAAAAGAATCTTGACTCTTGGGCTAACATCAGTCCTGCTCAACTTTCCTGTTGTTCCTTGCTGAACAGAGCAACTGGAAGATGTTAAATTCACAGTGAGCATCAGAATATGCGTTTCTAAAAGTAGAAAGGCACCATACACAGCCTCTTTCTTGTAACAACAAGTGGGTGATCACAACACTTAGCAAAGGCTGTAATGTAGCAGGGTAAACCCTTTTTGGATTCAAGGTTTGAGTTCAGATTTGGAAAATGGATTTGCATTAACAGGGTGGTTTCTCCATGCTCTCTGGCATGGCTGTCCTACACCTTGAAGTGATGTACCTTTCCTGGGCAAAGTTTCACAGGGGGTGTGAGGTGATCATCTGGTGGCAGGGTTGGTGAAACATCTCTTTTGACCACAGGGGCTGCAACTTCTGGCAAAACTTCAGCAGAATGTGACTCATGTGAAGCGTTTGTATCATTATGGGAATGTGCAAGGTCAAGGACAGTGTGGCCGTGTCCAGGGGAAGGAATATTTTTTCCCAAGTGATGTTCAATCAAGTGAACATGGGTTTCTCCAACCTGGAAAAAACAAAACACAAGCACTGATGACTCTTCTTGGGCCACTGATCCTGAAGCTAATACTGCTTTGAACTTTCCCAACAGATTAGAACAGACAAACATGAATCAAGATAATCAGCTGCTATAATTTTTTCAGTAATCTGGCAATTTGTGAATGTTGGGGTAGAAATCAAATGAATAAAATTGAAAAACAGCAGTTGGTCTTTCAGTTGATTGAGGGTCTTTTTGCTTTAAGTTACTGTAAGGTGGGCTCACCTATAGCTCTAAGTCACAGTTTGTTTTAACCACAGTTTGTTGAATAGAATAGCAATTAAGGTGCCAGACTTGGACTGGGGAGATCCAGGTTCAACTCCCTCATGACTAGAGATCTTTCTGGGTAGCTCTGAGCCAGTCATTCTGTCTCAGCCCAACCTACATTACAAGACTGTCATTCTGAGGATAAAATAAGGATCTGAGAGCAAAGGAAGTATATAATTAAATAATCCATGGTTTACAAACCATAAGGGTTGCATTATTCTTAAGCCAAGATCAAACCATCTGTATTATACATTAGAGCCTATACTCATCCTGCAGAGGTACAGGGAATTCTATTGCTGGAGCAGGAAGTCAGTTTTGGGTGGCTTGGAAGGACAGAATTGATAAAAGAAACCAAGAGGTCCTACTGATGACAAGGGATGGAATTGAATGAGCTATGAGCTATTTAGATCTTGAGAGCAAGGCTCTGTGAGTATGAGGAAAGGGGAATGAACAAAATTGCATTTAACATATATACCTTCTGGTCAAACAAGACGCAGTCCGACTCAAACTTTTCATCTGTAAGTTTTCCAGTGGCATCATGTGCCCTAAAAACAGTTGCTTTACAGAATCCAACATGCTGCGGAGGATGAGGAGGAGAAGAACAAATTAGGATATTTCCATGTTAACCAAAATAATCCCCCACATATCAGCAAACCAGAAATGGTCAAGAACTACTGTGTGGGGAAAAGGTAGGCTACATCCATTAAAGAATTCAATCAGGTGACAACCCAATTTGTCAGAGTACTCTTCATCATTGCTAGGACAGATAAAGAGAGAAGAATTGGCAACCCCCAAGATAGGAATGGAGTTGACACTCAGACTTACTGCATCTGCTGCTGCTTTGGGGTGGCAGTCATGATGGGCATCATGGGATTCTTGTTCAGAGCAGTTAGTCTCCACAAAAACAAACTCCACATAGTAAGATTCAGGCTCATGCTGAAATCAGAGCAAGAGATATTTTCGCTGGGTTGTGGGTAGAAATTGCAAAACCGCAGAATCAGGGCAATGAATTTCAGCATGGTGCCTATCTCACCATCACCTGTGGTCACCTGTTCCTACTGAAGTTCTCTGCCTTCCTTTAGCAGAGGCCTGGGTGGTTTGTGACCCCAGAGCCCCCTTTTAGGGACCTCTGGAATTTTGGGGTCAAGCATTGCGTCAAGGAGCATGACTGAGGAAAATTTAAAATTTAAAATCCTGCCTGTTTTAGTGACATTACAATATCCTCTTCCTTTCCCTTCTAAATGGGGTGGATGCAGATTTGCTGCCCTCGAGATTTTAAAGTTAAAAGTATAGCTCAAATGTTGTATGGTGCTCAGGTATGTAACTTCAAAGATCTAGAACTCTGAAAATACTAGGTTGTTACAAGCATTCTTCCATGTCCCTCGCTGGATCTCAAATGCCTTAATCCGCAGGGAATCTGGAACGATTCCTTTGGAGGTGAAACCCTGTGCCTGCTGACTCTTATAGGCTTAAACTTTTATTCCTGAATGGTTCAGGGGCCCCATTAATTCTGCCATTTTCATCAAGCTGTAAAAGAAGAATCTTAGATAACTTGTGACATTGTGACTTCTTTCTCTTTCTACCGCAGCTCCAGGTTTTAGAGGGAGCTACAGCCAAAATCTGTTTAAAAGTTTTCAGCATTGGAAAAGGCAATATTTTCTACTAATTAAAGGATGCAGCAATATGTGTTGTTATGGCAGAGAGTTTGTGAAATTTTACAATAATATTTTGTACCATTCATATTATAGTAGTGAATTCATTAGTAAACCAGTGACTATTGATAAATATATAACGTAAGGTAGATTTCTTTTCTTTCTTAGTTTATAATTTTAGTTTGTTTGGGGTGGTCTCTTTTCTAATTAAAAGAAAATTAAAATGAAAGATAGTTTTGTTAATTGGGTCTGCATTAAATAAATAAATAAATTGGCAAAAAAAAAAAAAGTTTTCAACATTGCATGACAGATCACCAGTTGTGGGTTCCCATTTGGAAACCTTTTACAGTAGCTGTCTTTTGCAAACTTTATTCAACCTTATTTGTCCCACACATTCTAGACTCTTTTGTTTGATTCATTTCAGCACTTTCCCTTCTGCAACATTAGATGGAACGTACAATGGAATCTATTTACCAACAGATCAGAATGTGCCTGAGACCTTAGCTCACGTCTCTTTTTCCCTCCCCACTACAATAATATATTGTACAACAAAAGTAAATCTGTTCTGAGGAAGAGGCAATTAATTTCCTATTGTGAGATCAGAATCCTACCATCACCAAAAGAGTTGCTAAGTTTTTATCTGCAGCAATTTCCATAGGAAGGCATAACATGTCCTAAATTTTGAGTGGGATTTAAAAAAAAATTGTTCCTTAGATTTTATGCGACTGTTTTCATTTCTTCTGTTTTATTGGGTGGCTGTTTCCATGTTTCATGCTGCTGGTTGTTGGCTGTAATTATCTTCTATAAATAAAATATCAATGAATAAGAATTCATTCATTCATTCATTCATTCATTCATTCATTCATTCATTCATTCATTCATTCAAGAGTTCACTACAGTCTGATACTTGGAAAGTAAATTTAAAAGGGCAGGCTACAGCCCCTGGTTCTTGAAAAGTTGCCCATCCCTTCTTTAGCATCAGGTTCCCTTCCTAGATTTTTCCCAAACACAGTTCCTCCTGCCTCCTCTTGCTCTCTCTTAGTCGTATGGAGCATCAAAGTACTAGGCTGGAAAAGGTAACCAGAATTCCTTCTTAACATTTGTATACTAACCTTGTGCTGCCCCCTTGTAATCTCAAGGACTTCGAAGACGTGGTCGGGTTGTTGTTCGTTGTGCTTGTGGAGCACATATTCAACAACTTCTACCACACGAGGGTCATTCAGAGGCAACAGAATTGGATAGTTAGGGCCGAGTTTCTTCACATCTTCCACAGAATCTAAGAAGAAAAAGAAATTTCAAAAAGGAAACTTAAAGCAGCCGGCAGTCTTAGCTGAGAATTGCTGCAAAAGTCAGACAGCAGGTTAAAGTTAGGGCTTTTACAAAGGGAGATAATGAAAGAAGAGTACTTTAGGTAGTGATGGATTAGTTTTGCATTACATTCCAGGGGACAAACATTTCAGTGCAAGACAGTGGGGCAGAGCAGGGTTGTACTTCTGACTTGATTCTTTCTGCCATAAATCTCCCCTTCTCCCAATCCCAGGAAGGATTTATCCTGGGAAGGAATATAGGGATATGTAGGTATGTATTCTTAACCATTGTTGGATATATCATTCCCATCAAATTGTTTCTTTAATGGGGCAGAAGAGAAGAGGGATCATCTGATGTCCTCCTTTCTGTCCCTATTCTGCTACTGCCAAGTACATAAACGTGTTAAAGTTGGAATAACCAGAGGCCACTCCCTTGGGAGCTAACTACAGTACCCACAACGTTATTTCCAGTGGTTCTGTAAAATTCAATTCCTTTTAATATATAAATATAGAGATACATAGATAATGTAAATGGCTGCCTGATGTTGATCAATCTCTCCCTGCCTTTGCCTGTCTTTTTGTCCCATTTTGCCATTAAATGTTTTGATGTTTGCTAATGTTTAATAAAGCCATAGTTTTCGCTAGTTGACCTGAATAATAATTGTTCTTGCTTTGGATATTGGGATTGACTGAGAGTGCCCTGAGTGCAAACTAATCTGGAAATTATCCATAGCAATTTTCCAATAACCAGGAGGGTGCCAACATGACAAAACATGCATTACAATGTCATGTTGTGAGCTCAGCCCTGTGTAGTTGCATTACAATGTTGTGTGCATTGCAACAAGGCAATGCCTGCTTTGTTACTTCTCCTCCTTGTTGTCCTAACCCCAACCATGTATCTTCTACAGACACCCATGGGAAGGAAGGGTCTAATAGCATCAGCAAGGGCTCCTCCCCCTGAACAAACAGAAGCAAAATTGTCATTAACAATGTGGTTATTACAGGGTTAATTCAAGGGTTGATTCTACTGCAATTTCACTTCCTGGGCAGAGCAGCTCAGATTGTGATTAGCTGCCCTATAATTGCAGAGAGAAAAGGGAAGAGAAGGGAGGAAGGAAATCCAATCCTTTAAGTTTATTAAGAGTGTGCAATTGGCTCCAGTCCAGATCACAACATCAACTTGATTTGAACTGTCAGTTTGATTCAAATCAATCATTTGAATGGATTGGAAAAGACAAGATGCCAGTATTACATCATCCCACTGAATAAAGATAGCCCAGCTGAGAGCCCAAGCAGAATTACCTGGAGATGAATGGCATTTCACAGCAACCACTTTGGTGACACCCTCATCACTGAGCAACTTGACATCACAGTCTGCTTCAACAGCCTGGAGATACAAAAGCACCAAATTGCCAGCTGCAGATGTGATGAGTGATGATATAACCCCAGTCAAAAGTAACAATCACTATCTGCGACACACTTCATGATTTGTGCACAAGTATTTTCGGAGTGACACACAATAGTTATCTCACAGTGAACAAATGGAGGACCAACAGCCATAATTGGATTGGTAAACCTTCATTCACCAGATCAGCTTGAGAGTAAGGAACAACTACAAGTGTGCAAGCTGGAACATTTTAAAAGTTTTTTTCCCCCCTATTTCTTTCAGATCTCAGTAGCTCTAGCATATAAAACTTTAACTTAGCGTAATTTAACTGATCGTTTCAGGTAGGTACTTCAACACTGGCATTTCTGGGGATTCTTGGCCTAAGTAGGATTTATTATGGTCCATTACAACATATTTCATGTTCTTTAACAGATTGGAGATTATTAAAAAGAATAATAGTAACTAATAACTTGGGTGGACTAATTTGTGAGGCAGCATCATTATGGTATCTAGTGCATGTTTCCTTCCAAACTATCATATTGGTGTCTTTGGTCAAACATTTCCAGATGCTGTAATATGAGACCTTCTACTTGGCCATTTTCATATTGAGAAAAATTGGACCAAGCCATCAGACTGCAAATACATTAACCTCTAAGAGGAGCAATAAGGCACTGTTCATGGATTCTGGCACGGGAACAATTCAGCTTTGAAAATTATGGGATGAAAGTGAAATTCTTAGTTCCTGACTTACTCATTGCTCAGAGTTGAAATGAGACTCAGTTATATAATGTGAACCCAAAATGAATGCCCATAAATATGTTACCTACCCCTGAGCTTTTATTAATCCTGGTTGTGACTTAGTGCTCCAATATATCTGAGTGTGTGTGTGTGTGTGTGTTCAGAAAGTCAACTAAAGTCAACTTACTCTTGGTGGAATGGTGGGAAGCCACCTGTCTTCCCATGAAGTCTTACATTTTTCACAACCCTCAGATACTTACATGTTCTTCCTGTGTTCTTACAGTACAATTCTCAACAGGAGTTGGGTCCAACACATGACATCTTGTCTCTAGAAGGTTTAGTTCAGTGAAGATTACCTTCCCGTGGGGTCTCTAAAAAAAGAGAAAAAGAAAAGAAAAGCGGTGATGAGACTACTTTTCTCACTCCATATTTCTATCTCTCTTGCATCAGCTGTCCTTTGGAAGTGTTTGAACTGACATTAAAGACCTTGTCCTGGTTTGCTTCTCAAAATCAACTGTTTTGAAGATAATATACCTAACAGGAAGTTTCAGTGCTGCCTTAAATTAGACACAGCTCCCATGGATGATGCAAGGCAAGAAGAGGCAAAGACAAAGCTGAGATTTTGTGACATGAAGATCTGCTGTGATCTACCCGTGTTATGAGGTTTTCTTGCAGACCCAGATTGACATCCCAGGTTTTTTTTTTTTGGTCCGGGTCTGGGTGGAAGAGATTATCTCTTTCTGACGTTGCATGGCTGAAATATCCATATACTGTCTACTCAACCACAGGCAGGCAACAATCTTTGGCTCCAAAAATGGCATCTGGTAGTCCTGGTCTGACCTAGAGATGCTTAGATGCACAACTGTTTGGGACAGTGGTCCAAGGGAGATTGGATTGTTGGGAGAGAGCTAATGTTTCAGTTGGAGAGTTCACATAACACTTAATCTAGTTATGGAATTACAACCCATTTTCTGGATTTCCATCGTACACTGAACCATTAAGTAACCCAATGGGCTGGATTTATGCAACAAATCTAGCCAGTGTTTACATCAAGCTCTGTATATCCAAATGCAATCACTAGGACTTGCTCTGAGCCAGTTAAACATGTTGTGCCCATGGTGCAGATGATGAGTTGATCATCCTCTCTTTCCAAGGATCTGACAGCTAAAGAAGCAACAGTCAAAGGTTTAGGCATTCTCTGGGTTGGGGGTGGGGGTATTGTGTGTCAATATCAGCAAAATAGTGGATGGAGCAGCACAGTGCAAGCCTTGCCTCTTTTGTGATGCATTGCATGCCCAGAGAAAAAGGGTGTGGCTTACATCACAAGCATCTGAGTAGTCAGTGTAGTCATTAAGCTGAGTGGTCAATGTGGTTACTGAGTAGTCATTAAGCAGTGGAACAGCTTGCCTCCTGGAGTTGGAGGTTTTCAAGAAAAGATTGGACAACCATTTGTCTGGGATGGTATGGGAACTCCTGCCTTGGGTGGGGGATTGGACTAGAAAACCTCCAAGGTCCCTTTCTTGATTCTATGATTCTAGTCCCAGACCTATTATAAAGCCATGGGACCTGCGGGACTGTCAAAAGGAAGTTCTGGGTCCTAGCTGAAGATAAAGATCCAGCTCCCTGCCAGTCCCAGATTCTGGACCATACCCCCCATTCCGAGCTGCTAAAGAAGAACAGAATCAACAAAATACAGCCCATGGATGATTTTGGTGAAGAAACAGATTGAATGGCAATGCTATATCTGCGCCAACCCTCATCTGAGACATGTTTTTCAAATGGAGATCTAATAATATTTCCTTCTGAACAACCAGAATAGAAATCATAACTAAGGTGACTGTGGGTGTGGCATATGGGTTTTAGTGGTCTGGCCTGGCTGATGTTCTGCTGGTGTGAGTGAACAAATGGAGAGAGTAAAGGGGGAGAAGAAGCTCCGTCCCGGCCCTGAAGGGCAGCTGTGCTGTCCTGAGGGCTGATGGGCTGACCTGACTGCTAGCCAGGGCTGTTGTGGGGAGATGTAGAGACAGCAGTCCGATTAGTGCAGCCTGGTATGTAGGTGTTGGGGATTAGAGCTTTGGGGGGACACCCACCTCCTCAGTTGCTGGGGACATGCTGCCAGTCTCACTAAAAATTAGAGAGAGAAGGAAAGAAGGAGACTGCAAAATGGAGGGGCTGGAGAGAAAAGTTGGAAAGAGAAGTGTACAGACCAGTTGTCGGTTCCTGGTAGGGGAGGGAGAAGAAAGGTCCACAGGTGACTTCCTTGAAAGAAGGGAAGCAAAGACCCAGAGAGAGTACATCTTCACCCAAGACCCAAGATGGGAAGACCCTAGTTGGCTGCAGGTAGCATCTTCACACAAGACCCAAGATCTTCAGTCGTTGGTGAAGCCTTGGTCTCTGGGGAAGGACTGGGCAGGAGACCCTGAGAGAGGTTCTTCCCCCAGTGGAGAAGCAGTAGGTGTTCAGCTGAGCAGTTCCAGGAGAAGGTCAAGCCATGCTGAGCACACTACAGTAAAAATCCAGCACATTCCTTCTTTTCACTCTCTCTTGACAAGCTCAGAAATGGGGGAGGGAGACAGAGTGAAAGTGGGAGGAAGCAGGAGAGCTAGATGGAGGGAGGAAACCTGATACTGGGTGAACACTGGGATTATGTTGTATATACCTGTTGTAAACACTTGTTACAAATAACTTCACTGTAAATAATACAAAGCATAAAAGCCTCCACTGTCTTGTTTTCTATGTCAATTGCCACCCTTGCAAAGCAAAATACACCAAAGAGAACTCATCACACTGTGACAATGGGGAATCTTTCATGATAGCTTTTCCAGTCTGGTGCCATCCAGTCTGGTGCCATGTTGGACTACAAACCACATTATCCCCACCTGTCTAGTAGTTCAACTTACATGGAAGCTATGAGATTATGGAATATTGCTATATGACTAGAAAGAGGTCATTCATTGCCCAAATCTCACCAAGTAGGGTACAGAGGTTTAGTGCCACAACATCACAAAAGACCACCTAGTTGTTATTTACTTAACAAGTGGAACTAGGAAATCTTTCCTCCCATTGCATCCTTACTGTACTTACCCGGGGCAAGACATGCAGATCCTTGATTATATTAAGAGTTTGTTTGTATCCATGAAGATTATGGGTGTTGATGTAGTGTACTCCTTCTTCTGCGTAGTGTTCAGCTTCTTCGCTATTGCAGTCTGATTGCGGGAGCAAGTGATGGCTAAGCGTACATCCTAAAATCTGACCTAGGAGTACGAGAGCTATCAGTGAATTCATGGTTGGGCGTAGAGATGATGTAGAAGGCGTTGCTGGAAGGAAGGCTTCAGAGACCCAACGTTGTCAGATGCTCCTTTATATGCAGTGCTTCTGTTCACCGCCCCCCGCCCCCTGCCACCTGCATTTGCTTACATGAGAGAATGCAATATTTGCAGAAGGTATTGCAAACCAGAGGAAGGGAAAAGTAAATATGTGAGGACACCAAGTCAAAGTTTTATTAGATAAGGGGGAAAATGCAGATTGTGCGAAAAGAGAAAAGCAATGAACCACCTAAGCCATTCATTTGACCTGTTACTTCATGACCAAAGGTATACTGCTGCACTAAGGGGTATTTTAAGAATACTAAATTATATAGTAACTATGCACAAAGGTAGTATGAATTATAAATATGGAAGACTTCAATTCAAATTTCAGCTCAATTATTGGCCTAGCTAATAGTGATGAAGTGCCATCAAATTGATGTTGACTCTTAGCGACCACATACACTTTCTCTAGGATGATCTGTCCCCAGCCTAGTCCTTCAGGCCATCCAATGTGGCAGCCATTGCTGCTGTAATCAAGTCTATCCATCTTGCTGCTGATCCATCATCCTCTTCTTTTCTTTCCTTCCACCTTTCCCAGCATTCTGGATCCATTTGTTTGTTTTCTTGGCGACCCATGGTATTTTCTAGAGTCTTCTTCAACTCCAAAGTTCAAAAGCATCAATAT